ATACTTCGTACAGCGGCTCCGCCTCTTCCTGCGCCGCCCCCGGGACCCCCCGAATCCGCCGGGACCCCCCAAAACCTCCCCCCGGGGCTGATCCCGGCCCTCCCCTCCGCCAGGGGGCGCCGCGCCCTCTCCCGGCCCCGCCCTCGCTGTGACGTCACAACGAAGGCCACGCCCCCCTCCTCCCACCCGCGGCGCTTCCGCCCCGCGCGCGGGAACGGCGCGAGGAGCGCGCGGAGCCGTGACCCCACGGTGACCCCACGGTGACCCCACGGTGACCCCTCCGTGACCCCGCTCATGGACGGGGACGGGGAGGGGGAGGGGGAGGGCGCGTCCGCCCCACCGGGCGCTGCCGGTGAGGGGGCGGGGCCACGGGAGGGGGCGGGACCGTGAGTGCGGGTGTGGGCGTGGCCGTGGGACCCCCGTGGGTGGGTGGGGCGATTTGGGGGCCATAAGACCCTCGGGGATTGTGGGACACTTTGTGGGGGGGGGGTCTTGGGGAGGGCGTGGCCGTGGGATCCCCGTGGGTTTTTTGGGTGTGTCCCTGGGTGGGTCCCGGGGGTGTGCCGGGTTTGGGATGGGGGTCCCGGCGGGGGTTTGGGGGTCCCGAGTGGGTTTGGGGTTTCTTGGGTGGGGGTCTCACACCCCCCGCCGCCCCCAGCCCTGCTGTACCTGCCGGGCGGGTGGGCGCTGTGTGTGCTGGGGTGTGTCAGTTTGGGGGTGGCTGTGGGGCGGTGTGGGGCTGCCGGGGGACGCGTGGGGGTCCCCGGGGGTCGCACAACCCCCTCCCCACCGTGTCCCCCAGCCCTGCTGTACCTGCCGGACGGGTCGGCGCTGCCGCTGCCGCTGGAGCCGCCCCCGGGCCCCACGGCCGCGGAGCTGCTGCGCCGCCTGCAGGGGGCGCTGCGCCTGCCGCCCGCCGCGGGGGACGCGCTGGCGCTGTGGCTGGGGTCGGAACTGCTCGGTGAGGGGGGACAGGGGGCCTGGGGGGAAATGGGGGCCATGGGAGGATATTGGGACACAGAGGGGAAATGGGAACACGGGGGTCCTGGGGTCACAGCGGGGACACTGGAGGGTCTCTCTGGAGGATGGAGTGGGGGGTCCGTGAGCCCGTGGGGGTCCCCGTGGGTCTGTGGGGGTCCCCGAGTGGGTGCCAGCTCTGTGTCCCCCCCCACCCAGAGGTGCAGCTGAAGCCTCGGCACCGACCCCTGCGCCTGGTCCGGCACTGGCCGGAGCTGCTGCTGCGCTTCAGCCTCGGCTCGCCCGCGGCCATCGCCCAAGGTGAGGGCTGGGGGGCACCCCTGGGGGCAGGAGGGTCCCTTTGAGGGTCCCCTGGCCCCACTGACCCCCTGCCCCCCCAGATGAGCCGTGTCTGCAGCTGCGCAGGAACGTGTTCTTCCCTAAGAGCCGCGAGCTGGAGGTGAGGGGGCGACACGGGGGTCCCCAGTGTGGGGGGATCTATGGGAGGGGTGGTGTAGGGTGGGCTCTGGGGTGGTTTGGGAGGTCTCTCTGGGTGACCTGGGGGTCTCTGTGGGTCCCAGCTGCAGGAGGAGGAGCTGCTCCGGTTGCTCTATGAGGAGGCGAGGGAGCAGCTGAGGGGGGGTCGCTACCCCGTGGACCCTCCCGAGGCGGCCGAGCTGGGGGGGCTCAGCTGCCGCCTGCGCCTGGGGCCCTTCGAGCCCGGCCGGCACACGGAGCTCAGCCTGCGGTCAGCACCCGCGGGACCCCTGCCCACGGGACCCCCACCCCTGGGAACCCCTGAGACTCCCTTTGAGACCCCACCCACCACCACCCTGGGGCATCCCCCGTGACCCCCACGCCTGGGACCCTCCCACGCGACCACCCACGGGATCCCCTCCACCTGGGAGCCATACCTGGGACACCGCCATGGGACCCCCACCTGTGGGAGACACCTGGGACCCACCCACCCCCTGAGACCCCCACCCCCTGAGCACACGGTACCCCCTGACCCTCATGTGCCCCCCCTGACCCCCCCGGTGTCCCCCTCCCCACGCAGGCCGCTGCTGGGGGAGCTGCTGCCGCCGGGTCCTCCGGCCCGCTGGGGGGCGCTGTTCCGGCGCTCTCGCGAGCCGGGCCCCTCCCAGCGGCTGCTCGAGGCGTTCGCGCGTGCGCCGGGCCCCGAGGCGCCCCCTGCCGGATTGTACCGGGACTTCCTGCGCCGCTGCCACGGCCTGCCCGGCTACGGGTGAGGG